AGAATTTGTAACACATCACATTGCCTGCTACTCTTAATTGTCCACTTCAAACCCTTTGTGCATAACAATCTAACCCCCAATTACCCACTTTATTTCAAGTGACAACCTCAAATATGGGTTACCCCTTCTGCTTAACAAGATCCATCCCAACTTGTATTTAGCTCAGACACTCTGCTTCCTTCCCCAGACTTGAAGAAGAGATGTGTATAGCCTGAACATTACCGGGTTGACCATGGCACCGGGCCCACACTCAGAAGGGGCCCTGGTGTCCAGACCGTAGCCCCACCTCCCCTCCCCGCTCTGCCTGTGCTCTGACTCAAGGCCCCACCCACCACTCACTCTTCCTCACCTCCCTCCCTCCTGCCTGACCCGTGGGTGTGGGGCCAGTGGCACAGCTGGGGTGAGCAGGCTCTCGGGGGGTCCCAGGGCTCTGCTCTATTTGCAAATGTAGCTCTGGCTCAGACAGTCTCTGCTTCCCACCACCTGTGGGACTCTGCCCACCTCCCCAGGCTGAGCTGTCTGGGACCAGTGCAGGGATCAGGCCAGTCTCGGCCAGTTGGTGGGGGGCAGCGCAGTGGGCTGGGCCCCTCCAGGCAAGTGGGTCCTGAGGGAGCCCAGCCCAGGGACGCTCTGGCCTGGCGATTGTGCTGCTCCCGAGGAGCCAGAGCGATCCCTGACCGGCCCCAGCTGTGCTGGGGGCTCAGCCCATGCGCAGACATAGTCACTTCTCAGCAGGCTGTGGCTGGAGGACAGGCAGGGCGTGGGGGAGTGGGTCTTTGGGAGATTGGGGTGGGGGCACTGGACAATGGAGGGGGGGGTCTGTGTGGGTACTCCTGGGGGAATCAAAAAAGGTCCCCCTGCAGATTTCTTTGCTTCCCTTTAGAAAGTGACAAAGAAGCAAAGGGAAGCCAGGGGAGTGGGAGGGCTGGGAATGCCCATGGGCTGAGTTTGGGTAGGGTTGCCAGGTGTCCGATTTTCGACTGGAACGCCCAGCCGAAGAGGGACCCTGGTGGCTCCGGTCAGCACTGCTGACCAGGCTGTTAAAAATCCGGTCAGTGCAGTGGGGCTAAGGCAAGCTCCTGACCTGCCGTGGCTCCACACGGCTCCTGGAAGCAGCGGCATGTCCACCCTCCGGCTTCTAAGTGTAGGGGCAACCAGGGAGCTCCACAGGCTGCCCCCGCTCCAAGCGCCAGCTCTGTAGCTCCCACTGGCCGGGCAATGGGAGCTGCGGGGTGGGTGCTGCTACATCGGATGGGGCAGCACAGAGCCACCTGGCTGTGCCTCCGCGTAGGAGCCAGAGGGTGGACATGCTGCTGCTTCCAGGAGCTGCCTGAGGTAAGCACCACCCAAAGCCTACACTCCTGACCACCTCCCGTGCCCCAACCCCCTGCCCCAGCCCTGATCCCCCTTCTGCCCTCTGAACTCCTCTATCCCAGCCCGGAGCCCCCTCCAGCACCCCAAACTCCTCATTCCCAGCTCCACCCAAGAGTCTGCATCCCCAGCCAGAGCCCTCACCCCAACCCCCTGTCCCAGGCCTGGGTCCTCTCCTGCACCCCAACCCCCTCATCCCTGGCCCCACCCCAGAGCCCACACCCACAGCTGGGGCCCTCACCCCGTCCCGCATCCCAACCCACTGCCTCAGCCCGGAGCCCCCTCCCGCACCCTGAACTCATTTCTGGCCCCACCCTGGAGCCCGCACCCTCAGCCCTCATCCCCTCCTGCACCCCAACCCCCTGCCCTAGCCCTGTGGAAATGAGCAAGGGAGTGAGGGTGGGGAGAGCGAGCAACAGAGGGAGGGGAGGATTGAGTGAGCTGGAGCAGGGCCTTGGAGAAGGGGTGGGGCAGGGGTGTTCGGTTTTGTGCAAGTAGAAAGTTGGCAACCCTAAATATGGGGGGGCAGAAGCGAGGAGTGGGGGGGCACATGCAGTCACATGCCGCTGCCCCCCATTTCCGTGAATGCAGAGCTGCCCAGCTGAAAAAGAAGGGTGCTGCTCAGCTCTGCTGACTTTGCAGCTGGACGCTGCCTTCTGGGTCCTAGTGTTGGTTGTGCTCCCCTTCTGTGTGCTTGGAGTCATCCTGTTTTTTGTACCACAGTGAGTGTTCATGGTGGGACAGGGCAGGGGGCGGGCTGGGGATGGGGGAAGAGGCAGTGGGAGGGAGGGGGAAGAGGAATGGGATGGGGAGGGGATGGAGCAGTGAGGAAGGGGCATTGGATGGGGAAGAGAAGGGGATAGGAGAAGTGGGAGCCCAGCATGCAGCATCCCCGGGGCAGGAGCTGGGGCTCCCCCGTTAAACAGGCCCATCAAATCCCCACCCTGACAAACCCCACCTCCCCTACACCTGGAGCACCCCAATGAGTCCCCCACACATCCTCCCCATTGAGCCCCAACCAGCTGCACCTGGACCTCCACCCCAAATGAACCCCATCTCCCCTGCCCCCAGACCCTGCTCCCCCCCGCTGAGCTCCCCACACCTAGACACCCCATGCTGAGCCCCAACCACCTTCACCTGGACACTGCTGCAGAGTTCTATTGCCCCTGCACCCCCCCCCCAATGAGTCCCTGTGCATCCAGATCCCCCACTGAGCCGCCCACATCCAGAACCCTCTTACCCCAACCTGGATCTCCCCACACTAAGTCCCTCTGCACTTGGATCCCGCTGCCAGACTGAGTCTGCCTGTCCATACCTGGTGTGTCTGGCGCAGAGGGGCAGGCCCACATGGTGTTTCTGGGGCAGGCCTGGCCCTTGCGCTGTGTCAGGGTCATGTGCAGCCTCACTGCTGAGTCCCTGTCCCGGGGTGGGCTGGTGGGATGCTGGAGGGTGATCTCCCACCTCCATGCAACCAGTGGCCTGTGCTCCCCTCTGCAATGCTGGAGCTTCCACATTTATTTATTGACAAATAAAATTTGTAGAATTTTAAAATATTGTGTGCAGAATTTTTTATTTTTTGATGCAGAATTCCCTCATGGGTTGCTGTGCAGCTGTGATGGTGGGACTACAAGGGGGGAGCTGGGCAGTTGGGTGGTCGGGGGGGGAGGGGAAGTGCTGGCCATAGGGATCTGTGGTGGAGGTCTCTGGGCAAGGGGCACTGGGCATAAGGGCGGGGCACTGAACAGGGGGGTGATGTGGCATGGGCCCACCCCCAAGGGGAAAGGGCACGCTGGCAATGCAGGGCGGACCAGTGCGCTGCAGGTTTGTAAACAGTGCCCTTGTGCTGGGAAGCACGAAGCGGGGCCACTCCCACCGCACCATACCCTGTCTCACTGCCCCCAACCAGCCCCTCGCTCTGAGGACCGACCCTCCCGACCCCTGTGCCATGCCCCACAAATACGTTTGGCGCCAGGTCCACAAAAAGTTAATTTGATCCTGAGCTTGAAAACTTGTACTTTTCACCAAAAGAAGTTGACCCAATAAAAGATTATCTCATCTACACACTCTCTCTCATATCCTGATACCAACATGGCTACAACACTGCAAACTATCTTGCGTATATCAGAGAAGCAAATTGCAAAGGTATGTTGTAGAGGCTGCCTTAGACCTACCTGAATGTGCCCTGAAACCCATTGGTTGCTGAACACAATAAATTATTCATATCCTGATCTGCTTGGGCAGTCTTATGCTGGGAAGGAGTTTATGATCCTAATCCTATCCCACACACCACAAGTAATGTAGGGCAATTTGTGGATTAGTTTGATCCTATTTAGAAAATAAAATTAAGACCTCTTGACATTCAAAGTGTGGAGCTGAATTCCTTTCAAATGCACCTGCATTGCAAGGAAAAATGCAATATTAATCACCTAACTGAGATGGAAATCAGAAACCACTTTAAGACAGGATTTGAGGTAAACATGTAGGACATCTTATGGAATGTTGAATAAGGCGGCTGGAGGGTAAGAAAATTATTTTGCTAGCATTGCTTGATGGTAGATAATTCTCTGAGGAATTTGTTGCACTGACAAATGTCTCAGATCTCAAGAGATCCATCTACTTCACATCTTTATTAAGTAAGGATCTAGAAGCTCCAGTCTAGATTTCTCATTAGCTACTACCACTACCAGAGAGAGTCTGGTATTGGGTGAAAGTAAAAAGATATTCAAAATCCTTCTCAGGAATTTGATACGTAGAGTATGCCTGCTTTAAAGTTCGTATGAATTGAAGCTTGGGTTAACCCAAAGTCCCTACACAACTCCAGAATACCATTGTTTATGGGCATAACCACACATTCAGCTGTTTGGGCTGAAGAAAATTGAAAACCTGCAGGATTTCTATAGAAATCTTGCAATTTCTTTTGATTCAAAAGATATACCTAGATACTACTGCAATGGTGGACTTATAAATAATATAAACAGGATATTTACTAATTTAGACTTCATCCACCGCTCCCTCCCGCACCCCCAATGCATCAAACAAATTATGTCCTTTTTTTAAAAGCACTCCACAATTTAGCCCCACCCCATCTGACTCATTTTACTGCAATGTTGACTCCCACTTTAATTCCACCAATGACTCAATCACCCACCTCTACAACATGAACTTCTGTGCTTCTTCCCATGCTAAGCACCATGTATAGAAAATGCTCCCAATCAAAATCTGTCATCACCACCTTATCTTCTTTCAGCTCCCTCCTGAAAACTCACCTCCGCCATAATGCATATAGAAAACTGCCATCTGATAATGGCTAGGCCATGGTGAGCTGTGCTCATTGCTACAGAAGGGCTAAGAACTGTGCAGACTGTTATGTTAGCCTGTCTCCATCACTCTGACCAAGCCCACTTGTTTCTCTTCTCCATCTGTCCAGTCCTTTAACTGTAAGCTCTTTGAGGAAAGATATTGCCATTATTATATTTCTGTACAGTGTCTAGCACAATGGAACTCAACCCGTGCTGTCCTTTCAGCTCTAGTGCTATACAAAAGTTAATAATTAATAGGTATGATAGTAGTAGTGATTTTGCTAAAATATTCCAAACACCAGTGAATTAAAAAGAGAGAGGCATACTTGCCTCTCGCTCAGCTTCTTTCAATATTGCTTCTTTCTCCTTGACTCTCTGCACAAACATCTGTCTCATCTCCTCCTCCTTCCGCTGCAATTCGCCAAAGAACTCATGCCTCTTAGCTTCATAGGTCTCCTGTAGACTGAAGTCCAGAGAATTTATAGTCTCTATCATATTGTTTGTAACATAAGGAAACATAAAGGAAGCATGTAAATACAGTTTGGCACATTACTTTAACAAGTAGTTCAACTCATGTACAAATCTCTCAAACTTCTCATATGCAAGTAATAAACAACCTTAAATAGAAGGAACTACTCCCTACACCTTTGTAGATTTTGATCTTTCTAAGTAAACGTGTCTGGGTAGATTTAAAAAAACCTGACAAGAAGCCATTTACTGAGCTTATTTGAAGCACTTCAAATTACAGCAGTTTAGGACTGTTACAATTCTTGAAACGTGGAGTAGGAACACTCTCAATCTCCAATTTGTATGATTTTGGAGTTTACAAGAAAAGGAGGTGGCAGGACGCTCAAAAATGTTGGAAAAGGATAAGAGTTCTCTCACACTTACACAGACTGATCGTAATCAATGAAAACTTAGTGTCTCTGAAATGTTTAATCCGAGATGCTACTTTGCACATAACAGCTGTTAGACTGATTATGCCCCTATGAAAAAGCTATCCTTGAGGAAATAAGTAAAGTAAGAAGTCCCAACCTGAATGAAGGGAAATAATGTGACCCTCAAACAAAATATATAGGATTCTTTATGTGATTTCAAAATTGAATATCTGTGATAGTCATGTGGCTAAAGGTGATATCTGATTTTACAAGTACTTTGATATCCACAATATAGGCTTATTTCTTGAAATGTTTGAATTTCCTTAACAAAAAATATTTTTGTTAGTATGGTTTCAAAAAAATTAGTGTCTTCACAGAAGTGAACACATTTGAAGCTTACCATACTGATCTTTGAAATTATTAAGAGGGTTTAAAAAAAAAATAGTTCAAGCCATCAAGCAAACACCTGGACACAAAACACAGAAGCAGGGTAACAACAACAAAACTGTTAATCAGATCATGTTGTTTTATTCCTGTACCCACACTTCAGTTCCCATCTTAAAAAAAGGACAACCTACCTATCTTTGTTATGTCACGCTTGGATGAAAAATACTCTTTCCAAAAAGTATCTGAATAAATCTTTTGTAAGACAGCAAAGTCTACGATAATTGAGTTGTGGGCCAGATCCTTAGCTGATATAGATAAGTCCATTTATTTTACACCAGCTGAGGACCTGGGCTTGTCTCTTACAGGAAATAATGCTGATGAGAAGTTTAATAAAAGGATCTTCGAAGTATTAGCAATGATTAAGGATAAGATTGTGTCACAAAGGTCACGGATTCCATGACTTTCAGAGACCTCAGTGACATTTTCTGCCTCAGCCTTGTGCCCTGGGGCAGCGGGGCTGGAGCTGCCAGCTGCTGGGAGTCCCACAGCTCCAAGCCACTGCAGGCAGCAGGGGTCCCAGATCTCTGAGCTGCCAGGGTGGCAGCAGGGGCCCCAGAACTGTCAGTTGCCATGGCAGTGGATGCTGGAGTTCCCCTCTTTCATTAGTGGGGCTTAGACTCTCATCCCCCCTCCCTGGGGCTTGGGCTTCAGTCGCTCCCCATGTCAGCACTCCCCATTATTTTTAGTAAAATCACAGACAGATTGCAGGCCTCTGTGAATTTCTGTTTATTGTCCACAACCTGTCAGTGACTTTTTAGTAAAAATAACCATGACAAAATCGTAATGTTGGCAATGATGTCCCTCTCTGTTCTGGTGCTGTGTGTGCCCTGTTTGCCTTTTTTACTATTTTTATTCTCTTTTCTAGCTGCATCTGGCATCTTTCCTCAGATATCAAGAGCAAGGTTCCTGGCTTCCTTCCAGGCTGCTGAAACACTGCATCAACATCTTTTTATTCATTAACTTATGTTCTTCCTTTTTGGCACATTAACAGATTTAAATCCTGTTCAGCTGTTACCACTCAAAGTAACCTTCAGTATAAAAAGTTCTGCATCAGGAAAACTAAAGAACTTGCTGATGTAGACGTTACAATAAACAAACAATTTCATCTCTTGTTATTTGTACTTAATTCTATGACAGTGGCAGGAAAGCTCCCCAATCCTAAATATCAATCCATTTTGAGTCAACGTAACAGGAAGAATGACATCACCGGTGCTGACAGTCTATTCACTCCACTTTTTTCTTTCATCCTTCTATGAAAGTCTTGTTGCTGAATGTGGCAATTATTAAATCAGATGTTGTTCCTTCACTACTTTTTTTCCTCCACACATTCAGCACTTTGTTGCTTACTGCCTCATTGACTGCTGGGTGGTGGGACTGCAACATCCTTTCAGTGGGGTAATGGCAGAGGGGGTTGATTCACCTCTTCTTACTCTAAAGCTCTCCCCAATTCACTACCAGGTAAGAGTCTGACACCACTAGTAAGTTAGTCAATGTGACAACACTACTTTCCTTCCTCTTCTCCTCTCCCAATGTGGGGTACAAGCATTGTGACAGAAGTAAGTTACTGTATCTCAGGCTATGTCTACACTACCGCGGTAGGTCAACCTTTGCTACACAACTCCAGCTATGTGAATAATGTAGCTGGAGTCGACGTACCTTAGGTCAAGTTACCGCAGGGTCTACATTTACCTTACTCTTTTCGTTGGGGGTAGAGTTCAGGGGTCGACTGGAGAGCGATCTGCAGTCAATTTGGCGGGTCTTTACTAGACCCACTAAATCGACCACCAGTGGAACGATCTCAAGAGCATCAAACCCCGCTGTAATGTAGACCTGCCCTAGGTACTGTGTGTTTTTTCAACCAAATGAACAGTCCATTTTTAAAAAAAAGTAACAGAAGCAACCATCTCAAGTCTCTCAGTATAAGCCAGCTTAATAAAAGAAAAGGCTGTTGGGAAGATTAATGAATTTATGTTTGTGAGATGTTTTGATACCATGCTATAATTTAAGTTCCTAGACAGATAGTTGTTGTTGACCTGCAGCTGGGGTATTTTTTAGAGCATTAAAAGTGTCAAATATAAGATAAGTCATCACTTGAACAGCTCAGATTTAGTGCTGGAATGGTGAAAGGTCAATAGTTTTATGAGATGAGACCAGGTCACTTCTTTAAAAATAAAAATCATCACCACAAGTCTTTAATGCTATCTTCTTTCAAATTAAAAGAAATAGAGAAAATAAGGCACCTTTCCTAGAAATTCAGTCACTTAGCTATATGTTGAAAATTATATTTATAGGAATAGTTCTGCAGAGAAAAATACTGGCTAAAATGGTATGCATCCATGAAGTTCACACAAAGAAGTCTGCCTTCAAGATACCAGATTTACCAAATAATCACTTATAAAAGTACTGTTGTTCTTTTTTCAGTTTGTTTCTAGAATATAGTATTGTTTTGCAAATCACAATGACAAAAACAGAACATGTAATAACTTCAAACCTCCCCACGTTTAATGTCAGCAGAACAATGATCTAAAAAGTGATTTATTTTAAGAGTGGTTTATATTTCATCAGAGTTTAAGTTGGCACTATACGTATCTAATGTAATTTTGTATACTGTGGTCAGTTAAATGCTTTTCAAAATGTACACAACACTGGCTCTGACATGCTTCATATAATGCACTCCAGTTTTAAAATGAAAATCTAATACATGGATATTATCACCCTTTCTGTAAGAGGGGCTGTTGGGGGAAGGGGGTTTGTGACAAAGGCATTTATGTACAAGTAAGGTAGATATTTTTTAATATCTTACTAATACTCTTCACATACTTCACTATAGCACTACTACCTACCTTTCTACAGAAGTGTGGCTGTGAGATATAGACTTTTTGCTATCTGTGTAACCCTTTAGTAGGGGGACCCTAAAAACAAAGGTGCAAATCAATCAAGTTTTGCTCATGATCAATGAGCTTAATTTAAAAAGGCTTAGTAGGACACTTAATATTTCATCTCACGAAGATCAAATTTACAAGCTGATAAAAATATAAAGAGAGTGATCCAAATAACCTACCTTAAGAGTCATTCAGGTAACTTACTCCTCAGATATATTCTATTAATAAAACCCTGCATTTGACAGAAAGTTTTAGAATTCTTCAGTATCAAAAGCCAACATGAGTTATCATAGAATATCAGGGTTGGAAGGAACGTCAGGAGGTCATCTAGTCCAATCCCCTGCTCAAAGCAGGACCAATCCCCCAATTTTTGCCCCAGATCCCTAAATGGCCCCCTCAAGGACTGAGCTCACAACACTGGGTTTAGCAGGCCAATGCTCAAACCACTGAGCTATCCCTGCCCCCGGCACTACAGTTAACATTCTCAAGATTTAAACTCTGAAGATGGTGGCAAGGTGTTTTCAGGGAGTCCTTAGACTTACTATCCCAGAGGTTTCCTAAAGTTGACAACAGTGGACTTTCAGAATGTACCTAGGCGTTTACCCAAATAAAGGCCTGAACGAGAGGCAACCTGTATCTAAATGACTGGTTAAAGATGGGGTTTAAGATCCTTTTAGCAATAATGGCTGTCATGATTTTATTGTTTTTATTCTTTACATATACACACAGCATAGCACTTTAAACAGAAGACGGGAATTCCCATAGTGGATCAGACCTATGATCCATCCAGTCCAGTATCCCATCTATGACAGCAGCCAGCACCAGATACTTCAGGAGAAGGTGCAAGAAACCCCACAGTAGGCAGCTGAGAGATAGTTTGGCCCCCATGACAGTCTCATCCTTATTCCTAGTGGTTAGAGATTGGCTTAAACCCTGACACGAGAGGTTTTATAACCCTTCCAACACTTTTTTTAAGCACTAACTGTAAACTCTGTATCAGTGGTTTTCAACCTTTTTTCATTTGCAGACCCCTAAAAAATTTCAAAAAGAACGTGTGGACATCTTTGGAAATCTTAAGTCAGTTTGCAGATATCCAGGGGTCTGCAGATCACAGGTTGAAAACCACTGCTCTATATGGTTAGCAAGAACATCCAAACCCTCTTTGAACCGCAGTAATTTCGGACTTGGAAGACATCCTACTGTAATGAGCATTGTGGGGGGAAAATACTTCATTTTATCAGTTTTGATTTTGCCATCTATCAATGTCACTTAATTTCTCCTTGTACTTATGTTATGGCCTGGGACAATAGAATCTACTAATCAACCTTCTCTATACTTCTGTAATGTCCCTTTTTATTCATCTTCTTTTTATGGTAAACAATCCCAATCTTTCTTCACATGCTCCTAATTACTCTTGCTGCCCTTCTCTGAAACCCCTCAGAACAAGGACAAGTGCCTGCTCTGGGGAATATAAAATGTAACCCGACACCATGGCTTAAAAAAGGGTGATTAACCCAAGGAATAACTGGTTGCTCCAATTTTGGGCATTCTGTTCCCCTTAAAAGAAAATTAGCTGGGAAGCTTGTGAGACACATATGTTGTGAATGTAGAAAAATAAAGAATAAAAAAAGATTAACTTCAATCCACGAAAGTAAACAAACATCCATTTTACAAGCTGTATGTATCTTTCCCATCTATGCAAACTAGTAGCGTATATTTTCAATGCTCCTGTGACAGTCAGTTTTCTTCCACCAAAGGATAAACATCACCTAAGGAAAGAATTTAGGAAATATCCTGGAGTAGGCCCTGACACAGCATTGGGTCAGCGAGCAGTGGACTGCATGAGGGATGCTTATTTGCTGTCAGCTAGCCTCCTACCATCTGCCAATGTGGGAACCAAAGGAAAGACTTAGGGCAATCACCAGCCAGGAATCACTTCACTCTGGACTCTGTCTGCACACACTTCTAGCTACAGCAGAGGAGAGAAGAGAGGAACAAACACTTCTGCTGGATTGTATACACAGTATAATATAATTCCACTCACAGATTTCCTACAAATTGATGAGGTACAAGTAATGATCATTTGTTTAAGTGGTAAATGGGCTTTAGGACAGTAATTTCACATTGAAAGCTCCAATAGCTCTGGTCAGTATTGTTTCTGCATTAATGGCCATATATAAACAGGGGCCTGACTATCACAACTTTTACTCCAAGGAAGTTGCAGGTGCTCTACACCTGTCAGATTCAGGCTCTGACTGATTATGACTGGAAGCAAGCAGAAAGACACTCATCTTTAAGAACAGCCTATCTAATTCAAGTACATGATACAAGTAGTATCCTGATAGCTTGCAAATCCACTCAATCATTTATTCTCTCCAAACAGCTACCATACAATTATCTCTCTCTCAACCTCTCCCCTCCTCCACCCATGAACTTTTAAATTCTGATTCCTTCAACAACTTGATTTCCAGACTGGTAACAGGTTGGCTAGTTTCAGGGCTAGTAAACAGAGTTATAACCACATGACCAAACCAATTATGTTTGATGAACCATGATGAACCATACACCCTACAAAGTGTTAGATGATAAATTCCAGTTTCTAAAACTGTATACCACACATCTCTGTTTAGACTGATGTTTGTTTAGTATACATCATTATATTTAGTAATACCCTTTTGGGATAGGGCCTCACACGTGAAGCTTATCTCATCATACACCTATGTGATTCATCTGATCTCTCTTTTCATACAAGTAGTCTTTTACAAGGCACATGTATAAGATTTATTGGGTAGACATCCTTAATTCAGATTAATACAATCTAAATTACAACCAGCTCCATTTAAATCCCTTGGAGATTAGGATATAGTGATTTGTTAGAATTCTATTATAAACAAAAAAAGTCTGGAATGCAGTTACAAATAAAACACAGTTACCTGTTCGTATTACTAAGCAAACTCACAGAGGACATTAGATGAGGAGGACTACTATATTTATTGGCCTATTTAACCATGAAACATTGTTATCTTTGCTCTCCATCCCTATTCCTTGTTACACCCACTTGTATCTTAAGTATGTTTCTAACTTTTCAATTTGGAATAGGGACCATTTTTTTCCAGGTTTTCTGAGAGGACCTAGCATGCTTTGGGGCACAATAATAATTCCACTGCCTTACATGCAATGGACACTTACCAGCATAGTTTTTCATACTAGACAATTTATGAAAACCAATTATGTTCTCTCTGCCTATGACCTCATCAGCAGTCCTGACAATACAAGACCTATTGCTGTTGCCCTGCAAAAGGAACAGTTCTGGACTAAAATTAAATTCAAAACTGATTATCAATCATACATTAGTGGTAACTATATGAGGGTATGTATTTATTAAATCATCAAAATGACATACATGAAACACCACAAAGCTCCTGATGCAGCAAAGCCAGCATATGATTCAAATATAGCAAAATTTTGCTACTTTACACTGACTGAGAAACCCGTTGCAGATCATCAAATTTGGCAAGTGAACAAACAATTATAAAACGTCAGGGAAACTGACTTCCCTAAATGTACTTTGTTCATTTATTGAGTACAATTTAATTTTAATTATTTGTAGTAATACCTTACACTGCTAAATAGTAGTAAACGTACTAGAATATATTTTGTAAAAGTGTTGAAGTTTTAATAATTTAGCAACTCACTTTGTAAATACATTTTTGCTGAGAAGTGGCCAAGATGGTCATTTTTCTGAGAAATGACTGGGTTTGCAGTTTACTAAAGTGGGAATTATTGAGGTTCTACCGTATTGTGTCTGTGGGGCAGAGCCACCCTTTTCCCCATATTGCTGATGGATTTAATTCCAATTAGTAGACTTTCTGTAGTTTATTCTATGTTTTGTGTAATAGTTCCATCAAATACTTTATGGATGATGTTACATTATTGGGCTGGCTGTATATCAAATGAATCCTCTGAATTCTTTTTTCTCATTATAAAGTTAGGTAAATTTTCCTCCAGACAAACCAAGTGCTTTCTCTTTATCAATGTAATTCCTATTGTGGTACACAGCATGGAGAGAATTGCATACAGACCCCGCTTGCTTACTTTTGTCAGAATAAATCAGTTAGTTAATTCTTCTCTTTAAATTCTTTTACTGTACCTGTTTCCCTCCTTAAAAAACAATGGTGCCTTCAGTAGTTGTGGCTAAGCATATCTAATTCATCTGTCAGGACAGAGTATGCTCGTCATCAACCACAGGGTTCTCAGTAGGCTAGCTATTCAATAGGCCCCCAATACAACCACACAAAAATGGCAGTTATAGCTTTCTGTACTTCTGATTTCTTGTCAGAGAATCCAATTCCAATCAACATCCAGTGAGTAGAGTGTTAAAACATAGAGGTATAATGCTGCAACTTTAGGCCTGCAAATAGTTTGGTCAAGAATGATCTAATTCACTACATAGTGTCCTGATTGGAGGACAACTCAAGATTATCTAATCAAATGTTCTATACATGTGCAGTTACATTCAGATTTCTCTCATGGTAGTTGATGTTCTGCATTACCACCTGGTTGCTAGAGGTTTTTTGAAGGTCTTTAGACCTTTTGGAAAGTGCTCTCATATCCAGCATGATCATGTGTCAAATGAGCTCACTTGCCAGTATAATGCTAAAAACAGGTATTTGTTTAGTCAATGCCAAAAACTGTGTCGCCCTAAACATTAACATTTTGCAGTTCATATCTGTTGCTGCAGCTTTGTAGCTTCTTCTTGGAGGTAAAGATGAAAGCTGAGAATTTATGCAACTAGAAAAACTATTCTAAAACTAGTCGGAAAATGCGTTGCTTTTTAGTATTAGTAATAACTGCGTAAAGATGGCCAGATATAAAAATATTAAATGATGAGTCAGAGCATTAAAAAACACTTTTAAGTTCCAGGATATTTTGCTGGTTTATCATCTATTTTCCATTCCAGAGTTGGCCACCACTACTGCACAGCAGTAAATTGGCACTTCACAGATTTCCTCTCTCAATAGAATTTGACTACTAATTATAGACTGGGAGGAGAGAAAAATTGGCAGTTCAGGAGTCTATTTCTGGAAGAATTCTAACACATAATGTGCACGTACAAATGAAGCAGTCATACACGTAGAAAGAAGAGGCTACATAAAGAAAAAAAAGATCAGAAAGTTAGAAAAGATAGAAAAATTGGGCAATAAAAATTATCAGGACTTGCTGTGCAAAGTGGGATTATACAAAAAAAAGCCTGTTTATAAGTAAGCTTTTTCTTTTTGCTCTTCATAATTACTTTTGGAATCGCCCATTAATTCTATGGTAGGCTATTTGGAGACAAATTTCTAATCTTTTTGGGTTAAGAAATGTAAAAAGTTAAAAGTAGTACCAGTGATTTTATAGGATTGAAGTTATTTCTTCAATTATTTCTGACCATGGAGTCCAGCCATCCTGCCACTTCTGCATCAGATATGAATAACACATTAGACAAAACAGCAAAGTTGTAAGTATAAGAAAAAGCAAGGTTATGCTGGAATTAGTTTCAAATGCAAGAAAAAAGAATAGAGAATAGTGTACATATATGTAGAAGAACATGGGCTGCCAAATGTGTTTTTGGAAGAAATAAGTCAAAATCCTCAGTTTTGGAACAAAGCATCAGTGATCTGTGAGAAATACAGAAATAGTCTGAGCTCCTCTAAAATAGTCACATCACACATGTAGTATACGGTGATGATGACTAGATAAAAATATTACAATTTCCTTGTATTTCTGATATTTCCTTCAGACAGCACTATTTGTTTCTAGTGGTGGGTTAAATAATATAATTTTTCGTCCTTTCCCTCAGACTATAAAGGATTAGGGATGATAATGGAAGGAAGGAATGAACTCAACATTCAAGCTAAAGGATTCACCCCCTTACCTGACTGGTTTGTTTTCAGGGCCTGTGTCTCTGAAGCCCATCTCTTCCAGTTTGCAGCGTCTATACAGCTCATAATGCCGTGCATGAGTCTGTTCTCTCAGGTCTTCCATATTTGTGCAAATAAGCATCTCACGAAGCTTTACAAAGTCACAGTGGTTCTCATTTTCCACTATTCAAGTAAATAATAATAGTGATATTGATCCATGATATACAAACAACTATACCGTAGAACAGTATTTTGAACAGCCTTGGTATTTTCTATTCAATTGGCTGATTAAGTTTTTTGGGGGTAAAACGTCCCTAGTTTCTTTTACCCAGTTGCTGCCTCGTGATTTGTGATACATAATCCAAGCATTAAGTAGAAACATGGTTTAGCAGATTCCATTATTTTTCTTTTCATGACTCCCTATTTGAATCTACAAAAGAAATTACTTTCTCTCTCCTCTGTTCTGATATAAAAACCTTGTAACATTTGGTAATGCCAGCTGCACCTTTACAATGCAACAACATAACTAATCACCACATCCAGGATCTGATGGCCTGATTTTCTGTGTCGCTTAGCACTCATAAATCTCATTTGTGTTGATGGGACCTGGAGGATCAAGCCATGAATTTTTTGGATCAGTTAGTCTACCAATCTGGCATCAGTAGCCAGCATCAGCCCACTTAATATTAAAACAAATACTTCTGCAACTTGAGTGGGTTTTATAATGAAAACAACATTCATATACTTGTGAAAAATACTATTAAAAATTCAGATTTTACCTTGAACAATGCCCCAAGGGTACTGTCGAGCTTTCACCATTTTGTTTCCAACCTTCATTTCCTCCATACTCCCCACTACAGCAAATGGTAAATGTCCCTGTAAAACAGTCAAAGCAATTCAGTCTTATCTCCCAGTATTCTTACATAAGAACTGGAAAACAATACTTGAAAATTAAATCAGAGAAACAACAAGCATTTGGAGACAAACACATTATAACTACAGGTCAGTTTCACATAGAGAATCCATTTAAAAAGAGCAATAGCTAGTCAAATCCTGGCCTGCTCTGGAGCTTCAACGGAGGGCTGCACATGTCACAAGGACTCCTAGGGTTCTCAAATCCAATACAGTCCTCATAGACTGCTACAATAAAAGGAGTTTGAGGTAGTTGCCCCTCATGCATCAATTTCTATTGGAAAAGGCCAGCAGACAGTTGCTCTATCTGTGATACAGCCTTCCTCAAAGCAAAACAGGCATCTTCAGCATCCACCAGTGACAGACATGAGGCCACTACAGGAAGTGCAGTGCTTGAGGCCTGAGATCTTGCTCATGCCACATGCTCAGACAGCCATGAGATGGGAAATGCTGCCTCAACACTGAATGACTGCTCCACAACTAAACCTGAAGAAAAAGTACTGCTAACTGGGAAGAAAGTTATTAGAGTAACACAAAGCTTTCCTCAAAACTAGGAATTCTTTTCTTTCTGTCAGAATAATCCAAGCCAGGGTACCAGACATTACAGCATTCCGACTCCCTGGCACAAGTGATAACGGGGAACCAACTGGTGGCTTGGGCTGCACACCCATTTACGTCCTTGGACACATGAAACCCCCAACAGCACTGCTTGTCAAATGTTCTGACCAGCAGATCCAAGATCCATATACACCAACAGCAGGATCCCCCATGGACAGTACTGCAAGAAGAAAAACCTAGTTTTCACTCAAATTTAGTTTAAGGTGATGAATACCACCAACTGATAGAAGAACAGGGGGATTTTGGCGGGGAGGGGACCCAGACGAGATAAGTGTCTCTAAATTTTTCCTTAAGTAGCTCATAAAAAGACAAATGTAAATATCCAACTTGCTACAATACAAAACCCTATTGCCTCAAGAAGAAAATGCAAGAAAAAGCAAGAAAACTGGTAAAGAAGATACTTTAATACTGGAATATCAAACATTCTTTCAAATGTATGCAACATACTTACATTCATGGTGGCATTAATTTTAGAAATGGTTTCATCATCTGTTGGAAACTGGTATATCTGGACCCCATTACTAACCAATTCACTCATGAGTTTGATTTTAAACTTCTGTAGTTCAGTTTTAGAAATGGTGTCTGCTTTGGCTATGACTGGTATAATGTTCACCTATTAAATGATATAAACATGAGATGTGTAAAGGCTTTGTTTTCAAGCCTGTAAGTTTTATACGTTGAAATATTCAGTTTCCCATAACATCTGAATTAATTTCTAACAAGCTTTCCAGTGACTCTTATGTGAATGGTTTCATTCAAAAGCCAACAACCTAATAATAAACACTGTGTACATTTCCAAAGTGAATACTTTGAACATCATAATAAAGCAGTAATGTATTACCTAATAATCCCACCAAAACAGAGCTGATCAGAGAACAAAAGTGAGTAGAAGAAAGGTATTATAATCCTACTAGAAAGAAAGCAAACCTCCGTCACCATTCAAAGACAACCATAAGGAAAAGAACAGCAACATACACAAAGCTACCAGCTACAATATATATAATTTTACTAAGATACTAAATCCAAAGTTAAGAAAAAATTATATTAACACTGTATACTCTAGCTATTTCTCTATGCCTATAAAATAGCAAATTTGTTGTTTTCTCCTTGTTGGTACCCTAAAAGTCTGCTGTGCTGTTAGATACAAGTATTTAACTTTGCTCTGCTGGGGAATGTTCTTACAGTTTTATGGTTCGGAGGTCAAGCATAAAAACAATCTGAACACACCAGCTCCAGGAGTTTGACAGTACCACAAAGCTGCCAGCCATCATACATCAGAGAAGATTTCCAGTCATTGCCAAATCAGATTTCTCAATATAGCATGTTGCACTGCCAATCATAAAACCTTTTTAGAGAGGCAAGAAGCAGCACTCTGTGTAGCTCGAAAGCTTGTCTGTCACCAACTAAAGTTGGTTCAGTAAGAGATATTACCTCGCCCATGTTTTCTGTCCAATTTCCTAGGACCAACACAGTCACACCACTTCATAAAACCTTCTTGTCAATTTAATATTTAATTTATAGGAAAAGCATGAGATTTATACTGATGGTTGTGGAACATATTTTATATGGCAGAAAAAATTAAAAACATTGAGGTGGCAAAACTGAGAACTAAAAAGTTAGGAAATGCCAGAAATAAGGTTACCTGTGCATCCTTAATTTGTCCCCCCATGCATATACATTATGATGCAGTCTTTAATTACATGATCACATATCATTTCTTCCACAGGACCCCTACTTCATTCAGTACATAGGATGGACCTGCTCTAGGGATGAATCAGGGTTGTGTAGTAAAGGAAGGTACTGCCTCATTTTCTGCAGAAGCTGGGAGGTGTGTAGACAACGAGGCAAGGGACTGAGGGAAGATAAAGGATGATCTCATAGTTAAGGCACTTGACTGCTGCCCTGGTGAATTGGATTCTATTGCTGCCTTTACCACACAGTTCCTATGTAAGGCTAGTTGAATCACTTAAACCAAATTTTTCACAAGAGGTCACTAAATGTTTCCCTCATTTTCTGGGGCCCAACTTGAGACCCTGTGGTCTGATTTGTAGAAGTGCTGAGTAATCACAAGTACAACTGAAGTCAATGGGAACAGTGCTTTGAACATTTAAAGTGATATATAATGCTATGTACTCTGAATAATCAGATCCCAAGTGTCAGACTGGACACCCAAAATTAGTTGATACTTTTTAATCTTAATTTCTCTACACTTCAACTCCCCATCTCCAAATGGGGGAAATAGCCCCTCATCTTACCTGGGTGTTATGAAGATAAATTGTCTGTGAAGCACTCAGATATTATAGTGACGAGCACCATAGACAAGTCCATGAGGAAATTAATAATGCTGGATTGAGAGCAAGGTCTGAAAAGTTTGCAGTAAGTAAGGAGGCCTGGGGCCATACATTGAACAATGAGGAGAAAACAAAATACAGTAACTCCTCGCTTAATGTTGTAGTTATGTTCCTGAAAAATGCGACTTTAAGTGAAACGATGTTAAGCGAATCCAATTTCCCCATAAGAATTAATATAAATACGGGGGCTAGGTTCCAGGGAATTTTTTTTCACCAGTCAAAAGACTATATATATAATACACACACAATAAGTTTTAAACAAAAAATTTAATACTAAACACAGCAATGATGATTGTGAAACTTGGTTGAGGTGGTGAAGTCAGAGGGTGGAAGAGGGTGGGATATTTCCCAGGGAATGCCTTACTACTAAATGATGAACCAGCACTCGGTTGAGCCCTGAAGGGTTAACAAATTGTTGTTAATGTAGCCTCACACCCTACAAGGCAGCACAAATGGAGGGAGAGGAGACAACATGGCAGACAGAGGCAGAGACACAGAGAGAGAGAGAGAGAGAGAGAGTGTGTGTGTGAGAGAGACACGCATTGCCCCTTTAAGTACGCTGACCCCACACTAAGTACACTGCCTTTTAAAGTAGATCAGCAAGTTGAGATAGCAGCTGCTGCCACCAAGCTCCCTCCATCCTGAGCCCCCTTGTGTGTCCGCCTGCTCTGTAGAGACAGGGTAAGTAGGGGGCAGGAGCAGGGGGAGAGAGACATCCTGACATTAACCTCCCCCCCCCACATACACAGCAAGCAGGAGGCTCGGGGAGCAGCTCCAAGGCAAAGGGCAGGAGCAGCACATGGCAGCAGGGGGAGGGACAGCTGAACTGCCAGCAATTGATAGCCTGCTGGGCGGCTGCCAAACAGGGAACTTAGAGGAGAGTGGGGAGCTAATGGAGGGCTGCCAGTCCACTCTGGTTCCAAGCCCCCACCAGCTAGCTGCAAAGGGCTGCTCCTTCTGCAAGCAGTGGACAAAGCAGGCAGCTGCCAAACAATGTTATAAGGGAGCACTGCGCAACTTTAAACGAGAATGTTCCCTAATTGATCAGTAACGAAACAACGTTAACCAGGATGACTTTAAGTGAAGAGTTACTGTATTGAATACGACTCATTAAATGATCATTCTCTATTCTGTGCACTGAATGAGACTACCCTAATTAGCATATGATATTGTCATGATTTTGTCACAGAGATTGTGAAATCCTGGAAATGGCTGTAAAACACACATCTGATTAGGCCCCCAATCTGAGTGATGTTAACAACCTGATGCACAGGGTCACGGCGCAATTCGTGTCTGGCTCATGTGCCCTTCTACAGATGAAGACAGAGGATCAGGCGAGCCAAACTTAAGTGACACTATGACCCCATGTGCCAGGTCACAAGCCCCAGAGCTGGGCCCACCCGTATGGGACAGGAGCTGCCACTGTGGGGTTAGCTTGCTCTCCAACAGCCCTACTGGGTCATACTTTTTAGCAGCCCCATTATACTCTTGAATATGCTGACAAAGTGAATACTATATTTGGCGATTTTTCCCATGATTTACTGTTTTTTCCCCACACACCTCTGCTGTGAAACTTTCTAAAAACATCCCTGCCAAAATCATAGTCTGAATCATAACGCATATGCACAAGGGGGAACAAATTAAGACTGCACAGGCAACCTTAACTCTGGCATTTTCCTTGACTCTGCAAACAATGTGCTTGTAACTTTTGTATTTTTGTACATAATATCTTAGTTTTTTTTCCTTATTAAAAAAAACTGGATAAACAAACTCCATTATGTGACATCATATTGAAACCCACGTCAGCAAGCTTGGAATCTTTAGATCTCCACCACACAGACCTCAGCCACTTGAGCTAATGGAGTAACTGATAGCAATAGTAGGTTGTCTCTTCTAAGTGGACCAGCACTAAATAGAGATGGGACATTTTGCCAGTCCGTTTCAAAGATGTTTGCTAACAGCATAGGAATGGTGAGACTCAAGAATCTTCCATTCCAGGCTCAGGAAAAGAGTGCACTCTTTTCGGCACAGGCTCTTCTGCCCATTCACCCCAAATTTGGCCCTTCTGCCATGTACCATCCAATTTGTCCCTTTCCCACCTCTGGCTCCTCATCCCAGTCCCATTCTTCTCATCTAGCTAGTCCCAATCTCCATGCCTCAGGCTTCTGATTCCATTCCCAGTCTCCTTGCCCAACAAGCCCTTGACTCTAGACTCTCCATTCCAGTTCCAGTCTCCCCCCAATCCCAGTCTCCTTGCACAGAAAGTCCCAGTTCTCCTTCTCTCAGCTCCTCATCTCATCCCACCAGTATGGAGTCACCCCCACCCGGATTATAGTCCCAGTCTCTCTCCCTTATCTCCTCCTCTAATCTCAGTGGCCACCTCACTTTCTTGTCCCAGTTTCTTTGGCCAACCAGTCCCAGTTCTCCTACAGCACCCTGGCTTGATCATATCTGCCTCTCTCCCGCACACTGGTTTCCAATCTCATTCTTCTTGTCCAGATAGTACCAGTCTGCCACCCAACTCCTCATCTGATCTCTGTCTTCCCACTGGTCCCTAGTCCCCACGCACCTTCCATTTCCCTTCCAGACAATACCCCATACTCCCTCTCACGTACCACCTCTTCCTTCTCTGCATTCACACCAAGTAATTTTCTCCTCCATGTTGCATGGGAGCCAGCAAGGGGGTCATGGAGAGCACAGGAGAGACAGGCTCCCTGCTCTCTGTTTCTGATCCTGGACCCAGCCCAGCCTACTGCAGTCCAGAGCTGCAATTGCAAAGAAAGTACCGCTTAGCCACAGGCTGCAGCATGACCAGCATGGATGGAATCTTTGGAGAATTTAGCTACCAAGTTCAAGCAAGTCTCTACTGAGCATGTGCAAACTCTAATTTTTCAAAGCTTTATCACTTGGCTAAATGTGGGCAGGTTTTCACAGGAAAAACAAAAAGCAAATCCTTGATACAAAAACCAACCTCATGCTGAATTTGAAGTCTCTGCTGCAAAGCATAGGGATGCTAGAGAGTCTCAAAGAAACGGTTATCAGTATTTTTAACATGCGCTAAATGTAATTTTCCTTGGCCTCATTCTCAGAACCAGCTGACCCATTGTGGCTGATGGTTTTTTTTCTCTCTCTCTCTCTCACACACACACACACAGATGCCCAGCAATCCTGAATCAGATGCCCAGCGTGCAAAATTTCAGCCCACATGGTTAAAGTCTGGCAAAGGTAAAAGCATCTAAAAACAGTTTTATAATTGGAAGTT